TTTTTTTTTTTTTTTTTTTTTTTTTTTTTTTTTTTTTTTTTTTTTTGGTCTTTCTTTTCCTATTGGTGCCTTCAGATTTTTCTTTTATTTTCTGAAGTGATGAGGATTTATTTCACCTGAGGGAATACAGCTGATTCCTGTTGGCCATTAACCCTGTAGAGGCTATTTAGCTCAGTTACTTTGATAGGCCTGGTTTGGGAAGGTTGGAGGTCTGTTAAGGAAGGAAAAAGCATCGATTATGTATCAAAAAGGATATTTTTTAAATTTAGGATGTTTTTTATTTTGCTTTGAAATAAAATATGTCATAATTTTTCTAAGAAAAAAGTAAAGGTAAATACACTTTTTGAACGTTATAGCAATGGATTTTATCTTCTTGATAAATTACTGTGTTTTGAAAAATGAGCTAGGCTGCACTTTCTACTGCCTGGCAATTTTTTGTAGACAAAACCAGAGTGTGCCTATTCAGAAGAAGAAATAAATGTATTTATGAAGGAAGAATGTTGTATCAAGCCTCTCTGGAGTATGTTGTGTATTCAGTCTTTTACTTATTTTGGTGGAGCCTGAAAAATAATCTCCATGGTAAAAGCAATTTAATCTCTAGGTAGAATAGAATTTAAATATACAAGAATTTGTTTTTTATTAATACTGCATGGTTTGATATGTTTATATATTTAACAACTTGGTGCTCTTTTTTCATAAATAGGTATTTTGTTGTTAAAGGTGTTACATACAGTTGGAGTCCTCAGTCAATGTATTGAGATAGTAAATAAGTATCAAAATAACTTACTTAGCAGCAGAACTGATTTATAGCAGATTATAATTAAGGAGTAACTAATTATTCAATAAAGTAACGTTTGTTTAATTCCTTTTTTTTTCTCTTAAACCGTATTGGGGGCTTATTAACAGAATAACTCTATTCAATAATGTGCTTTTCACATCCGTGAATTATTTTAATGCAATCACTCATTAATCATTGCAGATGTTGGAAAATCCTTCTGACTCCATTGCTTGTTGGCAGAGCTTCTGATGGAAATTCTTATCTTTGTTGGTATCTTTCTCTTTCCTTTTGTCTTTTTTTTTTTTTTTTTTTTTTTTAATGTGGAGAAATAGTTTAAGGACTTTTACACATGCTGCCAGTGCCTGAAAGCAGAGTGGGGATGGATGTTGTTTGGGGAAAAGCCTTCAGTGGGTCTGGCTGCTGCAAGCTGAGCTTTTGAAGATGCAGCTGAGCCCCTGACATGCACAGAATCTGGAGTGTGGGACATCTGGGTGTCGTTGTAGGGAAAGGGGATGCAGACAAAGCTCACAAGGGGTAAATGTAGAAAGAAAGTCTAATAGTGGTTATGGTAAAAAAAAAAAAAATCCGAAGTGCCCCCAGAGATCAAACAGCCTCTGGGTTGTCAGAGCTCCCTGTGTGGAAGAGATTTGATTTTATATCTGCAGACGTGGCTGTGTGATTTTAGGAGAGTGGGGATGAAGCCTGGTAACATTCTGCCCCCCTAAAAAAGCTCAAAACCCTTAAAAAAAACCCAAATCCCAACTAGATGTTGATATTGAATTACTATTTCTGGACACCAGTGAATTGCTGAAGTTCCCTCTGCTGGAAGAGGCTGTTCCCATGAAAGGCTGAGAGTTGGGATTGCTTAGCCTGGAAAAGAGAAGCTCCAGGGTGACCCAACTTCAGCCTTCCAGCACCTGAAGGAACAGAGATTCTTTTCACAGGGCACAGGGAATGGCTTTCACACTGACAGAGGGTGGGTTTTGACTTGATTTTAGGAAGAAATTCTTCCCTGGAAGGGCAGTGAGGCCCTGGCACAGGGTGCCCAGAGAAGCTGTGGCTGCCCCTGGATCCCTGAAGTGTCCCAGGACAGGTTGGAAGGGGCTGGGAGCAGCCTGGGATGGTGGGAGGTATCCCTGCCATGGTAGGGGTGGAATGAGATGAGTTTTAAGGTCCCAGCCCAAACCATTTTCATGGTTCCTTTCCAAATCTGCATGTGAAACCTTAGCTGGATGACCAACGAGTCTACTTGGTCTGAAAATTACTGCAAAAAGTGGCAGTGTTGTCTTTATCTCACAAGTTTTGGATCTGTAACTGAGCTTCAAACTGAAAATAGGGGCTTTTATTATGATTTTTTTTCCCCTATTGTGCTGGTAGATTTATATTTCAGCCAAATTAGGAGCTGTATGTCTATCAAAGCTCATGCAGGAAGCAACAGAATTTTCTACTGCTGCTTTTTTTTCTTCTGCTGTGTCCTCAGGTCAGGTTAAGTCACCTGCAGCTTCACCTGACTCACTTGTAGCTGAAACCAATTAGGAAGTGCTCACATCAGGAGCATTTCTGGTGGGTGGATCTGGGAGGTGATTTTTGTCAGGGAAGTGGTGATTTGTGTTTGGGAACCCTCTCACTGAACCAGTGAGGAACTGAGAGGGGAGACCTGCAGATGCTCTGCCTGTAACATGCCTGTCTCAAATGATTTTGTAAATAAATAAGTACTATTTTTTTTTTTTTTTCCCCAGGAATATAGTCCTAGAAATCTGGGATGAAAAACACAGACTCTGTTTCATGTGCTGCCAGTGAGAGAATGTTGTTTGCATGCTTTCCTCAGAGGTAAGGTACTTGTCAAAGAGCAAAATAACATTTGTAAAATTCATGTGGTAACAAAGAGGAAGTTCAGCACGGATGGAGTTGGAAATTTGAGCTAAGTCATCAATGGGAAATTAAGATCTGGATCATTATCTGGCACAGTTTATGATTTTCAGATTGGACTAGCAGTTCTTGTTTTGTCATGGGTTAAATATTGAGCTTGTTTATGTGAAGAGCTTTATTTTTTTAATTACTATAGCTGGGCATAGTTAGTGGAAAAGAGGGTTCTAAGAAAACAATAAAAACCTGCTGAATTTCCTCACAATATGCTTATTTTGAAGTGGGAAGGAAGCGAACTGACATGGATAACATATGAACCTACTATATCTCCTTGATGTGGATATTAAAGGAACCTTGAAAATGGTTTATGGGGAAGTTGTTGGAGGCTTCTAATTTTAAATTCTTAACAGGAAATCATTAAACTGTAGAGGAGCCAACATAACAGACTGTTGCTCTAAAACAACAGCTAAATGCAGAGCATCCACATGAACTTGTCAGATCTTTTTTTTAATGTGTTTTTTTTTTTTTCTCCTTTCCTTTCATGTTTACTGCAACCCAGATAAATACATTTTCATTTCTGTTTTTCATATACATGCAGTTCAGGATCCCATTCTGAATGAGATGTGAAACCAGTGCCCTGATGGTCTGACCTCAGGGCAAGTGCAGAAATTCACATTATCCAGCAGATCCAGGGGTGTTAACTCCATATGGGGTCAGGTCCCACCTTTCTTCACTGACTGGGAAAAACC